CCACAACCTAACTCTCACCTACTCATGTCCAATCCAATCCAGCTCTGGATTTCTTTCCCCAGGTGTCCCGAGTACCTCTGACTGGACTCTGCAAACCCCTCAACACTGCACAGGTCCAAAGCTAAACTCATCTTCCCCCGAAAGGAGCTCCTGCTTCTCTACATTCCCTCTGTAGTGACTGGGAACTTTATCCATCCAGCTGCCCAAGAGGTAAAGTAGAGTCAACTTCAACTCCTCCCTCTCCCCAGATCCAATCTGCTTTATTGACACAACCTACCAGAATACACATCTTTAGAATCCTTCTATCTTCTCTCATCAGCCCATCAGACTCCGTTCTCTCAGCCCTGCCTATGGTTTCCCTCCTGCCTCCATCTCAATCTGTTTGTCCACTAAAATGTCCTAGGGTGGGGGGGACGAGGAGGCTTTAAAAATACACATTTCTTAAAACAAAAAATAACAGGTTTCTGACACTCATGCTAACTCTTCTGAATCTCACCCTCTGGGGAGGAGAACCAGGAAGGTGTGCATTCAGAAAACACTGTGATTGATTTTTGTTTGCAGCTGGTACAGGAGCAGCATTTGAGAACCACTGCTCCATGACCAAAAGTAACCCCTCCTCTTCCCTCCCACAGCAATGAGAAGTACACCTGCCCTGGGCCCCAGATCCTCACCTCCTCACAACTCAGGTCTATCACTCATTCTTGTCTGTATCTTCACCCACACCCTTCCCACTGGGTTTTTCCCAACACCTTTTAAACACGCTAAGCCTCCTCTCCACTTAAAGAAACTCCCCCAGCCTGGCGCAGTGGTTCACGTCTATAGTCCCAACACTTTGGGAGGCCGAGGCAGGCAGATCATGAGATCAGGAGATCGAGACCAACCTGGCCAACATGATGAAACCCCATCTCTGCTAAAAATACAAAAATTAGCCAGGTGTGGTATCGCACACCTGTAGTGCCTGCTACTTGGGAGGCTGAGGCAGAAGAATCGCTTGAACCCAGGACGCAGAGGTTGCAGTGAGCCAAGATCACACCACTGCACTCCAGCCTGGTGACAGAGCAAGACTCCATCGCAAAAAAAAAAAAAAGACACTCCCCCTTACACCTGCGGCCACCTCTGACCACAACTCACTCTCTTGATTCTCAGAACTGAGATCTTGAAAGCACTTTCCAAGCTCACTGTCTCCCATTTATATCCCACTCATTTCTCAGCTAATTATAATCTGAATTCTCTCCCCAACTATTCTGGAAAGGTTCTGGGGGGCCTCTTTCTTTCCCACAGGTCGCACTTCAGGCCTGTTTTGAAAATCTCTGCAGCGTGTAATGCTATCAGCCACTCTTCCCTGAAATTCTCTCCTCCCAGGTGTCCCCCTACTTCCTTGGCCATTCCTCAGTTTTCTTCCCTGGCACCTATTCTTCTCCCTCTTTAAAGTTTAAAATGTTCACAAGTTCTGTCCCTAGTTCTTGTCTCACCTTCCACTGTCCCCTGAAAGACTTCACCACACACCTCTTAGGAACTGCTCACTCCAGCCATAACCACCCCTAATTCATTCCCTCCTGCCTCTTTGCCAAGCCCTGTCCGGTCTCTGTCCCTCCCAGAGGCCTTCTCCACACTATGATGCCTGCCAAACTCTGAAAAGTCAGTCCAAATATTGCTACATTGGGAAGTCTTCCTTAACTGTGCCTCCCCACAACCAGCCCACCCCCTGCAATAAACCCACAGCACCGAGCACAGACGTTCTTTTCAAAAAAGTTTTGCCCCAATAGACACTGAACTCCTTGAGAGTGGGAACTATATCTGGAAAATATTAGGCATGCAATTAATGTTGGCTGAGTCCATCATTACACAGTGAACATACTGTGAGGTAAAGAGGAGCTTATTGATAAATGCAGTAAATGATACACATATTACTCAACGTAGAGCTGAGTGACAGCACTGGTCTATAAGTAAGGAATCTAAAATAAGTCATGATCACTAATCCTATGCAGTTTTACCCGGTCATAATTACGTGACTGGGCAGACAGCAATACAGTTTCAAGCACTTGAAACAGCCACAGCAGGGTGTTTTCAACTGTATTGCTGTCCCCTTTCTTCAAAATGAAGAGTTTTCAACAAACTCTCATATGGCTGGCTCCTTCACACCATCTGGGCCTCAGCTCAGCGTCACCTTCCCAGCTACCCTCCATGACCATGCGTGCTAACGTGGTCCTCCACCATAACTTCGGTGTTTGCAGTTACCCTTTCATTGTCTTCATGTCACTTGTCACTATGTGAATCACACTGACCTGTTTGATGCTGGTCTCCTTTATCCTGCTTATTACTTTATCCTCTGTATATCAACAATGTGTGGCTGATATGGGTACTCAACAGACACTTGTTGAATGGCTGAGAGAGAAAGGCAAGTTTAACACTAAAACACTATTATCTACTAACCACAAAACGTTGGATACATGCAGGTGGTAGGAAATGTCAGGGATTTCTCCCTGGAAAGGGACTGTTATTCACCACCCATGGGGGTGGGGGTAGGCACACGTATCATCCTTCTTTCAGATTCTTACTCAGGATCAGAATTTTGATTTGCTAAAGGGTCCCTCAACTTATCTAAAGGAAATCATGGGCAGTGGCTCACGTCTGTAATCCCAGCACTTTGGGAGGTCGAGGAGGGAGGATCACTTGAGGTCAGGAGTTCAAGACCAGCCTGGTCAACACGGCAAAACCCCGACTCTACTAAAAATACAAAAATAGTCAGGTGTGATGGTGGGCACCTGTAATCCCAGCTACTTTGGAGGCTGAGGGGGAAGAATCGCTTGAACCCGGGAGGTGGAGGTTGCAGTGAGCCGAGATCTGCCACTGCACTCCAGCCTGGGTGACAGAGTGAGACTCCATCTCAATAAATAAATAAATAAAACGAAGGAAATCACTTCCCCCTCAGTGGGTAGCTTCTCCAGAGAAAAATGTTAAAGCTGACACACAGCCTTTTCTAATGACCAGTCCTGGAAAACTGTGCCCAAGCTCCGTCAGCACCGTAAGCACTGAGACCAGGACCTGCTCATTGCTGCATTCCCAGCACCTAGCCCAGTTCATTGCCCAGAGGAGATGCCCAAAATGTTTGTAAAACGAGCATGTTAGACACAGCCTTCTGAGGAACGGCCATCCCAACAACTCTTACACTGCAGAGGCACTTAATTTTAGAAACAGGCCAAGACAGCTGCAGAGGGGCTCTGGGCCTAGGTCTCTCCCTGGGCAACAGTTTGGTTCCTAGAATTCAACACTCACCACCATGCGCCATAGATAATAAAATATTATCTTCCCCACAGTCGCCCTGTATCGAATTTGAATACACTTGGCCAATATAATCTCATGGCTAATACAGTACAGCAACCAATAACAGATTTCTCTTGCCCTTTAAATTTTTTCTATGTACTTTGGCTAGCAAGAATAGATCTAAATGCTAAAGAACAACAGAAATTGAATAATTCTACCATTAATTTCATAACCACCAGTACCTGACTCACTGTATGATCCCAGGAAAACCACACCACCTTCTTGAGCTGTCAGCTTCAGCTACAGTCATAACGCTCTTTATCTACAGGGTAGTTTGGGGAAGATTAGTTTTGTTTTGTTTTTTGAGACGGAGTTTCACTCTTGTTGCCCAGGTTGGAGTGCAATGGCGCAATCTTGGCCCACTGCAACCTCCGCCTCCCGAGTTCAAGCAATTCTCCTGTCTCAGCCTCCCGAGTAGCTGGGACTACAGGCATGCACCACCACACCCCGCTAATGTTGTATTTTTTAGCAGAGACAGGGTTTCTCCATGTTAGTCAGGCTGGTCTCGAACTCCTGACCTCAGGTGATCCGCCTGCCTTGGCCTCCCAAAGTGCTGGGATTACAAGCATGAGCCACCAAGCCAGGCTGGGGAAGATTAGTTAGTAGTTGTAACATACTCTGGGACCAATGCATGAAAGATGCCATAAATCAAATTAATTATGAAACAAAAGGAATCATAAATATTGAAACCGCTTCAAAACCTGAGAAATTGAGAAGTGACGAAGATTTAAAATCATGCCTGTGGCTCTGATACTAACTTACTGTCAGACTATAAGACAAAACACGTATTCTCAGAAGATTCATGACATTCCCAACAGATCTTTAATATTTGGAAATGTCAGATGTTTCTGTCCTCCAGCAGCATTAACTTCACATGGAGTATGAACAGTGACAAGCAATTGCAAAATTAGAGCAGTTCTCCGTTGCTGTACCGGTGCCTAACTGTTAACACGCAGTCTACCGTACGGAAAGTCAATTCCACACACTCAGTGTCAGTGAGAAAAGCCGTTCAACTGGCTGTAAAAACACTTCTCCGCCCCCTACCTGCTGACCACCGCTAACACGCCAAGAAACAGCAACATCCAGCAGCACAGCTGCGCTCCCTCGCCACAACTTCCTAACTTCCCTCCACTTGAAAGCACTCTCACCAGTGTGTGTTTGCGTAAAAACTCTTCTTGGAGACTGGAGAAGAAACACATCCAAGTGAAACTGAGAGGTCAGCTTCTAAAGCGGAGGCTGAACTTTGCAAGTGGGGGCGGGGGGAGTCAATTCGGTCCCCCAGGAGCCTAAATGAATGGGGCAAGGTGAGGGGGACGGCCCCTTCCTTCAGCGCTGCACACGCGCCGCAAAAGGCCTGGGGCCGGCCCACGAGAACACCAGGGCACCTGCCCACTTGCAGCGGCCCCAAGAGACTCCTGGGCATCGCACCTGGGGACACCAGGTGGGGTCCGGGCGGGCAGCGGGGCTTTGTTCCCATTAGCCCCTCCAGGCCGAAATGGAGACGGTTTCCGCTGACCCCCCCCAAGACCAGGAACTAGGAGGGTTCGGACGCCAGTCTGGAGGGTCGGCCCCACCACCTCCGGCAAACCCGAGGGTCCCCGCTGCCCCAGCCTCCTCAATGAGGTGCCCAGGGTGGCGTGTAGGGGGCAGCCAGAATGGCGGAGGCCGGTACTCACAGAGCCCACTGGAGCCGGTGCTGGTGAACATGGTCCCGCCGGGCTCGGAGCCCCCGAGGGGGCCGGGGGAGGGGAAGCTGAGGTGGGAGCCCCGGCGACCGCGCAGGCGCACTCCCGGCGGAGCGACGAATCCGGCTCCGCGAGGCCACTCGCCGCGGATGAATGGCGCATGCGCAGCCAGGGGCGTGTGCCCCCTGGGTCAGCGCCCTCCTTCCTGCCGGGGAAGGGAAGTGCGTCCGTAGGGGAGGGCCCATCTCTCCAGGTTGAAACGATGGCGGTCAGAGCCGCCTGAGGCAAAAACGGGTGGCACTGGGGCAGCGGAGGCGTAGCTCCCGGGAGCCTCACACTTGGGCTCAGTGCCGCCTCACCTCTAGTGGATCCGCGATGGCCGCGGATTCCTCTGGATTGACGGCGCTGGGCAGGAACGCCATCTCTAATCTCTCCCGAGACTGGACGCCCGGCGCCTTCCCCGCGCGTTGTGTCTTTCCGGGCGGTCCCTCGAAGCTGGCTACCCCGCGGGCTGTTGACTGCAGTGGGATCTGGTCACTCAGATGCGGATGGAGGGGTACGGGAGCCGGAGAGGTGGAACAGGTCCCTCCGGGTGCGGAGAGCTGGGCCGTCCAGCCGCCTCTTTGTTCCCTCGTGGGTCCCGCGCGGAATCCCCACCACCGGAGCCGAGTGTCGTGGCCCCAGGAGTCAGCACCCTGCCTTCCCCGCTGTGGTGGCGGGTGTCTGGGGGCCCCCGGCGCGGCGAGCCCGGCGGAGCGACCCAGCACTTGTGCCCAGGCGAGCTTCCTTACTCAGACCATTTAAATTTTTTCCCCTGGAAGAATGAAGTTACTCTGCCAAAGTCACGGTTTTTAAATGAGTGTGAGCATGAAAGCATATTATGCAGTCGTTTTAAAAAGTTTTTTTTTAAGTTGATCTCGTAAAAGTAGAGTAAAAGAGTGATTATTCTTGTACAGAGGAGAGTTAGTGGGGAGGGAGGATGGGGAGAGGCTGGTCAACAGGCGCAAAGTTACAGTTAGGAGGAATACGTTTTAGTGTTCTCTTGCACATTTGGATGACTATACTCAACAATAATGTTAACTTCAAAATAGTTAGAAGAGAGGATTTTGAATGTTCTCACCACAAAGAAATGACAAGTGTTTTGGTGATGGATGTGCTAATTACGCTGATTAGATCGTTGCACAATGTGTTTATGTATGGAAACATCACACTGTACCCCAGAAATACATACGAATTGTATGTAAGAATGTATATTATGGGGAAATTGACCACACTACCCAGCTAAATGAAAGGGATGGGCTATGGAGTACTTAAAAAAAAAAAAAAAAAAAAAAAGCTTTTTCAGTGCTCATAAGTGCCAGCCAGTGTGCTAAATCTGAGATTCGTAGATCAACAGTCCCTACCCTCAAAGAGAGGTTCCAGTGGGCCAAAATGTTAACATTGATTATTTTTAGAAGGCAAAAGTATGACTTTTATTTGCTTCTTTAGGCTTTATTCGTAAAGTTCATTTTCACAGTCTTTTTTTTGTTCGTTTGTTTTGAGACGGAGTCTCTCTCCCCCCAGCTGGTGTACAGTGGCGCGATCTCAGCTCACGGAGACCCTCTGCCTCCCCGATTCAAGCGATTCTCCTGCCTTAGCCTCCCAAGTAGCTGGGACTACAGGCGCCTGACACCACGCTTGGCTATTTTTCGTATTTTTAGTAGAGATGAGGTTTCACTATGTTGGTCAGGCTGTTCTCGACCTCCTGACCTCTTGATCCGCCCGCCTCGGCCTCCCAAAGTGTTGGGATTACAGGCGTGAGCCCAGCCCATTTTCACAGTCTTGAAGTACATTTTACATTTACCTTTAGGTTCGTTCGAGTTATTTTTCAGGAAAACGACAGTCAAAACGTCCTTTATGTTTGCAGAAGCTGTTGATTGGCTACACCCTGACCCATTAAGGGGATGCAAAGTCCAAAACTACTTTCGTAGTAATGCTAAGACAGTAGTTTTATTTTCTGCTCTCAAGTATATGTTGGAGTTTTCCACTGTACAGTTGGACCACTGTACAGAGCTACATAACTGGACTTTCCAGTTGACTGTTGCATAATGTTATGAAATCTTATGTGGGTAAAAGATCAATTTGAACCGTAAAATACACCAATAAACTTTAGTGTAACAGTCCAAAATGTTCATTCATATGGTTTCAGATTCCTCATTGCAATTAACCTTTAAGAAACTACCACTTGCTAAGTTATGGTGTAGTATCAAAAAGTAATGTATCATCTGAAAGGGTATTAAAATGCTTCCTTTTCCAACCACGGGGTGTATCTAGGTGAGGCCAGGTTTTCCTCGTATGAGTCAACCAAAGCAATGTATCGCCGCAAACTGAAAGCAGAAGCAGATATGAGGACCCAGCTGTTTTCTATTGAACAAGACATTTGCCTGCCAGACACAGTGGCTTAGGCCTGTAATTCCAGCACTTTGGGAGGCTAAGGCAGACGGTTCACTTGAGGTCAAGAGTTTGAGACCAGCCTGGCCAACATGGCGAAACTCTGTCTCTACAAAAAGTACAAAAAATAGCTGGGTGCTCCAGCCTGGGCGACAGAGCGAGACTCCGTCTCAAAAAAAAAAAAAAAAAAAAAAATAGCTGGGTATGGTGTTGCACACCTAAGTCCCAGCTTCTCGGGAAACTGAAGCATGAGAATAGCTTGAACCCAGAGGCAGAGGTTGCAGTGAGCCAAGGTTGGGCCACTGCACTCCAACCTGGGGGACAGAGAGAGACCCCATCTCAAAATAAATAAATACATACATACATGCGTACATTTGCCAAAATGTTAAACCATGCTATTCTTCCAATAATTTTTTGCTTGGGGAAGTAGAGTAATTTTGCATAAAAAAATGTTAGATATGTTAATATGTAATGGGTATGTTATTGTTATTTTTTTAACGAACTTCATTTTTTTTACATTTCTCAGTTTCAATTCCTACTATGGTAAATACTCATAGGTATAAACCCACATAAACTAAAGATCTGTAGTTCTTAATAATTTCTAAGAGTAAAGGGATTCCAAGACAAAAAGTTTGAGAACTGAAATTAAAAAGTGCTCTAAAGCTTAAAAAAACATAAACCCTTCACTTACGTTCAATTCTATAAATATTCTTTGCAACTAAATGCAAGATGGTATGGCATCCAGACTCTGCTCGTAAGTATCTGCAGTGATCCATACCTTGATTGTACATCTACTCTGCATCCCGAGGACCTGAACATGCCAACTGGTGGCTGCAGATTTGTCTTCTAAGGAGCAAGTGTGGTCTGTGGGCAGGCGGCTTCAGCCTCACGCGGAATTTTGTTTACACTAGTCAGTGCCAAGCCCTACCCTAGACCTGTTAAAGCAGAACTGGTGTTTCACAAGACACCCCAGGAAATTTGTGCGTACCTTAAAGCCTGAGATGCACTAATGTAGTGATTCTCGGGGGACAATTTTGACCTCCAGGGGACAATATCTGGAGACATTTTTGGGTGTCACAACGTGGTGGGGGAGGATGCTACTTGCATCTAATGGGCTGAGGCCAGGGGTACTGCCAAACAGCCAGCAATACGGGGCCAGCCTCCTCCAACTCCTGCCCACAGTAAAGAGTTACCCCGCCCAGATTGTCAGTAGTGCAGAGGTGGAGGAAACCCTACAGCCGTGTGACTCATCTGACCTTTACTGTGAATTCCTGGAACTCCTGGTGCATACCGTTTCTGTTACCCTGGCCGATATTTCCACCTTTTCTCTAGATTTTATTAAAAGAACTCATTCTGTTGATCCCTAGGAATCACCTGTTGCCTTGCTATGTTTTGTTGAACCTGTTTTTGAATATGCTTTCTACATTGGGGAAATAGGAGTACGTTTGTAAACCTTAGAAGCTACGTACACTATAAGGAAATCACCGGACATGTGGATAAGCTTTGCAGAGGTGAAGGGCTGTCTCCACCAGAGAGACCCAGGAGTCAGGGTAAGCCTGACTCATCATGAGATCAGGTATCCCAATCCACAGCGGACTTCCACAGCTCACCTTCCTAGGTAACCGCTCTGCCTTCCCAGGTAAAGTATGAATAATATCAGAACTTACAGCATATTTTGAGGTCAAATTTATAGAATTTGGTGATTTCATTTTTATTATTACTCAACCTTTTATTTACAATCAAATTAATAAGGCTATTTACACATAACAATGTGTGGACATACACATTAAAATAATCATTTGCTGCCTATCACTCCTACCTAGGTACTTTAAGAACATCATTGAGTGGATAAGTTACCCACTCCCTCTGCCGGGTAAAATACTTTGCACAATATCAACTGAAATGATACCTCTTCCAAACTGTAATGGCAGAAGTAGGTATCCCCTCTTTTGTGCTGCCATCACGCTTGATGCACACCTGCCTTATCATACTTAGGCCAGTGTCTCTGTTATTGGGTTTCTGTCTTCTACTGTGAATGGGTGAGCCCATAAAAAACAGGGAATGTGTCTTACAAAATGTTGTATCCTGCTCATTTTGATGTGAAGCTATTGTCTTCCTTCAGTAAAAACAGCATTTCTGAGGTCTTAGCATCAGGAAAATCTCCAAGTGGGTAAGGTTAAAGAAAAAATTATTCATGACACTTGTTCAGTGTGGTGCAATAGTCTGTTCTTACACTGCTATAAATACCCAAGACTGGGTAATTTATTTATTTATTTATTTATTTTTTGAGACGGAGTCTCGCTGTTTCGCCCAGGCTGGAGCTCAGTAGCACAAACTCGTCTTACTGCAAGCTCCACCTCCCGGGTTCACGCCATTCTCCTGCCTCAGCCTCCTGAGTAGCTGGGACTACAGGTGCCCGCCATCACACTTGGCTAATTTTTTTTTTGCATTTTTTTAGTAGAGACGGGGTTTCACTGTGTTAGCCAGGATGGTCTCGATCTCCTGACCTCATGATCCACCCACCTTGGCCTCCCAAAGTGCTGGGATTACAGGCATGAGCCACCATGCCCAGCCTATTTTTTTGAGATGGAGTCTCACTCTTGTTGCCCAGGCTGGAGTGCACTGGCACGATCTCGGCTCACTGCAGCCTCCGCCTCTCGGGTTCAAGTGATTCTCCTGCCTCAGCCTCCCCAGTAACTGGGATTACAGGTGCCCGCCACCACATCCAGCTAATTTTGTATTTTTAGTAGAGACAGGGTTTCACTATGTTGGCCAGGCTGGTCTCGAACTCCTGACCTCAGGTGATCCACCCACCTCGGCCCCCCACAGTGCTGGGATTACAGATGTGAGCCACCACACCCGGCCAAGACTGGGTAATTTATAAAAGAAAGAGTTTTAATTAACTCACAGTTCCACATGGCTGGGGAGGCCTGAGGAAACTTGCAGTCATGGCAGAAGGGGAAGCAAACACGTCCTTCACAAGGTGGCAGGAGAGAGAAGTGCCGAGTGAAGGGGGAGAAGCCCCTTGTAAAACCATCAGATCTGGTGAGTACTCACTATCGTGGGAGCAACATGGTGGTTGTTGTTATCCCATGTCCAGTCACCTCCCACCAGGTCTCTCCCTAGACACCTGGGGATTACAATTCAAGATGAGATTTGGGTGAGGACACAGCCAAACCATATTAGATGGTAAAGCAGACTTCCATTCCAGGGGGCCATGGTGATAGGTAGAGGGACACTGCAGGGCCTTGCAGTGGAGAGAAACTGAACTCAACACCAACTCTGCCAAGGACGTGTGGGGATTTATAATCAAGGAGCAGTGTGGAAAGCAGCGCATGGAAAATTACTAAGAGGAAGCCCCAAGGATAAGGGGGTTTCTGTCTAAACAGACCTGATAGCATTCCCGCTGAAAGCAGACTAGGGTGACCAGATATCAAGGGTGATCAACCAAGAGTAGGGGCTTTTCACTAGACCCACTTAGCAGGATTCTTGCTCACAATAGGCTCTGCAAGGACAAAGAGAAAAGCCCAAGATTGGGCCTAGTCAAGCAGAGAACTCAGAGAATCCTGACTGGAGTTTTAGTCAAAGGAGAGGGTCTTTTTCAGGCAGGAGGGAAGATGGTTGGCCAAGTATCCTGAACAACCACCTTCCCCTTGCTTTCACCTGCCTTTAGTACAGTGCTCCTTCTGAATAGCTGAGATACACTGAAATTCTTCCTACAAATTACTGAGTAGTAGAGAAGGCGAAAAACAACAACAAAAAAGAATCACAAACTTCCAAAGTATCGAGCTGCATACAAATGGTGTCTACTGTCCCCACAGCATAGAGGTGATATCCTGTTCCACTTTGTGGCTGAGAAGTCCCTCTCCAAATCTCCAGAGATTCTCTGCAGCAGCCTTCTGGGGAAATCAGTAGATAATCACTAGGGTTGGTGGTCAATCCTTGGATAAAATAGGCTTCAAATGCACTTTGCACTGCTTCAAAGCCACTTTCAACATATAATACATATGAAACTAATACTTATTAGAAAATGGAGCTGGGCACAGTGGCTCACACCTGTAATCCCAGAATTTTGGAGGCTGAGGTAGGAGGATCCCTTGAGGCCAGGAGTTTGAGACCAGCCTGGGAAACATAGGGAGGCGTCACCTCTACAAACAA